GTTTGAGCAACCCTCACCTTCTGTTTGTACTTGAAAAGATGGCGTCAAGCTATCGGTATTCGTATCAACATCAAAAAACCAGGGGCCATGTATTCACGTTTTTTAACACCATTTTTCATAATGACTTATTTTCATTTGTTTTCTATAGATCTCAATTTATTTGTGTCATTATTGTGACACAAAGAATTTTATCTTGATAAAATAATGTCCGTTATGTCATGATAAAGATACAACGATGTCGACATCTTGAGAAAACAACACTCGTTTTGCTGTGATAATGACATAACTATCACATGATCTCGATAAAATAAATAAAAAATAATTAGATATCACAGAAAAACAGAATACATGGCCCTTTAGGGCACTATTATTTAATACATTATTTATCATGTGTATGAGGTAATCACGCATCAGAGTGTAAAACAACAAGTATCCCAGAGAAGAAACCCACACAGCAGCTGTATGAACTCACTATTTTTATTTTCATTCATCTAGTAAGCTAGAACCATAATGCTTTTGGGAATGCATGAGTAATCAGCAAATAAAACTGGTTTTAATCTTAAAGTGTCTTACTCATGAGTTCCTTCATGAATATAATCACAGAACTGTTGTTGAACATCTTGGTTTTCTGACTGTTCTTTAACCCTGCTCTGCTGTAGAAAGACATGCAGTAGGAGTGGTGCATCATGGTAATGCAGATTCTACAGTATTCCCTGTATGAGTGGGCGGTTCTCAGTGGAGAGTGGAGCATGTGATGCGAGTTATGAGTGGGATGTTTTTTATTCTATTATTAGCACTCTAAAATAAATGTAATAAAACATCAGAATTGTGCACACACTGTGCAAAACAAGGGTGGGGTAGCAAAGAACAGTGATGTTTCAGGGTTAATATTTTGTAATACTGGTCTTAGTCACTTGTTTCTCTGTTTGGGGCTCATCTTTTTGCCTGAGTAATAATGATTTACACTTTTTGAAATCTTTGTTGACAGAATCTTAATCATGAAATGCAAACACTACACTATAAGTGACAACAGGTCCAATTTGTGGAAAAGTCTCTCAATTCAAAACAGTGTTAAATTGTTTCACATCCGAAATTCTGTCTTATATGTGCGTCCCGTTCACAGTCGTTCACAGTGTCAGCAGCAACATTTGAGCCACGGATTTCTCAGCTTGGTTGAAGCAAAAGACCATGAGACCACACTACTGTAAGACTCAGCTGACTGATGGAGTCGAACCACAGGTCAGGCTAGTGGACTCATAGGCCCGGCTAGCATGCTGCTATGCTAAAGGCCAAACCGAGACTAATGGCTTTCAATACCTCAAGAGACCAGCAGTTCTTTCCTTGTGTCTCTCTAATGACCGCTCCCTTGATAACAATCTCAACTAACATTAACGCAGAGTATAAATGACTATGCTAGCTTAGTCACCCACTACTTCTGCCTCTCCAAGAAATACTGGCGATACAGAGCGTTACTGGCGTTTTTCTATATCGGTCAGAAGTATCGGTATCCCCATCGCTGATAACGATACTGCGGTTAAGTGCCAGCTTCGATGCTGATGCCGATTTCAGTATCAGTGCAACACTAGTTACAGGGTTGGACCAATTTTTTTCTGATGTCTGATCCAGCATCTTCTGCTGAGTTTGGCCCAAAACCAATAACACACATCAGACCGGTGACACTGCACTGTAAGAGTGAAAAAATGAGAAGACAGAACCCCTAAATTATTTGAGGATAGGCTGAAACAGTGCCTGACTGTAATTACTAAATGCCTCCCCCACTCTATTTCTTGTAACATACAGAAAAAATGCTAAGAAAACAGTTAGATAACCCTTTATAATGGCTATATAAGGGCTGTATTCCACTCTCTTGGGTGACCAGAAATGGTTAAAGCAAAACAAGCAATGTCAACTTTCGCAGGCAAATGCGTTTTTCCTGGTATTTCCAACATGCTTGGATTCCTAAGCATGCACAAACGCCTCATGAACAGCACCTACACATAACACCCAGTGGCTATTGGATGTTATTGTATATGCTAACAAAGACCAATAGTTCACTTCGACAGAAAAGTTTGAATGGCGGTTTAGAACAAAGCAGGGCCCTCGGGCAATTCTCAAAAGCTAGAATAGAGGGAATATGTAGGCATTTGTCAGTCCATATATAGGAAACATCTTTGGCTTTACTAACTCTTACACCAACTAAAGAGACAATAAGCAGCATTTTAATGCTTGTTTGTGCATTCCATATTACTGCTTTAGCACTGGTCAAGGGTCTAGTCACTGTAGGAAAGAATCATAATGGAACCTTACACCTCTTGTTGATGCTGTTAAGGAATATTATGCCTTCTTAATATTTCTTAACCTTTTATAGATAATATTTTTCCATAATCATGCACAATGATAGTAGAATCAAATCAGTATCAGCAGATATTTGCTTAAAAAAAATTTGCAGCATCAATCAGATGTTTAGACTTTATGCTGGGCTACTGTGCCAAATAATCTGCATTTTATTCACTTTACTGCATTTAAAAATCCCATACAAATAAGTGTATCTGTAACTCAGGCACAATGACTTTATAAATGTTTATGTACTAATTAACTCACTTCCAGTATCAACAATCAAGGCCTACATGTAGAATCCTTGAATTCTGGCCCAGAGTTCTGGTTTTTGGAAAAGTAGATGTCCCATTAACTCTGTGAACTCTAAGCTCATTATTCAGTTATTAATCTTAAGACTTATTATTCAGTAACTAACATGAAACTAATATTTAAATTTTGTAGTTCTAAAAATGAAGAACTGTAGTATGGGCCCACAAACAGGCTGCTGGAACTTAACTTGAAGGTCGTTAGAGACATCTAAGAAGCTCCTCAATTGCTATAAGCAGCAGGCCAAAAAACACGACACTGCTTTACTTTGTGTAAGCTGAAGAGCTTTGAAAAATGCCTGTAAGTGCATAGGGGAGTACTTAATCCTACAATTGGTACCTAACATTCCCAAACATTTTGCCCAGTGCTGCGTGCCTGTCAAAATTCTGATCATTTTTTCCACATGCACTCTTGTGCAACTCAGCTGACCTCTTACCCATCTTGCAAGACAAGGCATGGTGTCTGGAGCAGCTCTGCCTAAATTGTTATGAAGAGAACATTAATCCATGAGATGAAAGCATAACCTCAGTTAACATTTGCATAATCAGTGGGTCATGAGGGACGACAACAAGAAAACGTTCATTATATGACCTTTAAAAAACACAATGTTCCCAAACTGGGTCACCTTGTAGATGCATTTGGTTTGTAAAGCCTGGTCAATAATTGATAACCGCTTTATTTTTAACTCAGAACTCATAACAAAAGTCTACACTGTTTTTGGCAATCACCCGCTAAAGTCAGAGGGTATACGTTCATTTCTCTAGGATGCTGCTGTGGATCCAAACCCAGGACAGTGAAAGTTTACATCATTCTTGGTTCTCCACTGGGGATCTACTGCCCTGCACAGTTTCATGTATTCCATGAAATCCCTGCAATGAGCACTTTATAATGTTCTTATCAGCCACATACCCCTAGATTAGAGATTATAATCAAAACTACACTCTGCTTGGCTTAATTTCTCCAGAATGCTGCCGTGGCCACTTCTGAGGAGGACTCACAATGAAAGGCTATGGTGGTCTTGGCACGTACCTGAAGTTAATGAAATAGGGATTGTACATTCTTCATAACTTCATTTCTCTAGGATTGTTCTGAGGCTACACCTACAACATTCTGGATAATCACATCCCTAATAAAACTACAGCCTGCTCAGCTTGATTTCTATAGCATAGTGTTTATTCAAAATGTCTGCATAATTACAATATCTAGAGGTAAAGTCACTCAGAGTAGATGGATTTGAATGCTCTTTTCTAGAGAAAGTTTCTGAGTCACTACTGTTGACAGTGGTGGTGATAGGAACCAGACGTCTGCAGAGTTCAAGGCCTCTAAAATCTCTCTCACAGAAAGCAATTACATGAACCTGTTATGAATATGCTGTCTGATGCCTGAGATGTTGTTTTATGATAGTTTTGAGATGAGGTCCTGGCCTAAAACACATTTGGTGATTAATTCATGGCGCAGGGGTTCATTCATGGTGTTCCAAGGCATGTTTTGGTTCCTATCACCACCACTGTAAAGATGAACAATGCACCATTCCTCAACAAACCACTCAGATAACTTTACATGTATCTCAGTGACTGAGTTATACTGATAGCACCCACAGGGCTGCAAACTTTCAGCTATTCTCTACCTGATAAAGCTCATCAGCTGGATCAGGTGTGTTGCATCAGGGAACAATTGGAACTGTGCAGGGCAGCAGCAGCAAGCTTAAAGGGGAACTCCACCTGTTTTTCAAAGTTTCTGCATAATTAAATGGCTAACATGTCAACAAAGTTGTTCAAAGTGGTTTGGTGTGAAATGCTTCGTTCCAGAGAAACCCGCTGAGTCAGAATTGTTTACAGCCAAGAAGCTCCCTCACAGAAAGTTATAATATGAAATGGTTGTGTATACACTGTGTGATGTCTAAGATATTGTTTTACAGTAGTTGTGTGATAAAGTTTTGGTTTAAAACATATTTTACACAATCTATTTTAATGCATTCATGGTGGAGGGACACATGAAGGGTGTTCTAAGGTAAACTGGTCCCCAAAGAAAACTAATTATTTCAGATTGACCACTATTTTACCATCATCAACATTACACACAAAAACTTAGAAGACACATGTAGGTTCACTTGTGGGTTTGAATAGTTAATAAAATGGGTGTATTTGCATCGGGACCCCTGGTTCCCATCACCACCACTGAAATGAAAACTGGACTCAGTAAGTTTCTCTACAAACGAGTTATGTCACATCAAACCACTCTGAATAACTTTGTTTACACCTCAACCTCTGAATTATGCAGACATTTTGAAAAACCGGTGGAGTTCCCCTTTAAAAGCCCTGCTCTGTGGTGATGAGTGATGCTGCCGTGGTTCCTACCTTGGTAGCTGAGCATGATCTTGAAGATCTCGTCGAAGTGCGCCGCCGAGTCTTTGGGGTCCACGGCGAAGGCGGCGGTGTCGTACTGGCCGTCCAGCAGGATGTGGACCCCCTCCATGGTGAAGTAGCAGTTCCTCTCCTCCTTGTCGTCGTGGTAGATCAGGTGCGCGTCTGTCCAGCCGAAGTGCGCGAACATCGCGGCGAACGTCTCCGCCATCTTCAGGTAGCTGGGCGCGATGCGCGTGAGCAGCGCGTACTCGGGCTGCTTGCTGCTGAAGCCGGACGCCAGCGCGCCCGCCGAGATCACCGGGATGTTCCAGTGCGAGGCCACGCGCACCACCGGCGCAGCGGCGTACTCGCACACGGGACCCATTATCAGGTCGGGCCGCTCGTCCCGCGCGACGTCCACGAGCGCGAACAGCGCCTCCATCCCGCAGTTGGAGTTGACGTAGCGGAGGGTGAAGTTGACGCCGGCGAAGGGCCCCGCGGAGAGCCGCCGCCGCGCGTACTCGAGCGCAGGAGACACTCTGGAGATGGAGAAGATGTACGAGTCGTTGTGAGGCAGCAGCACGAGCACGTCTACGCTCTCGTTCAGCGCGCTCGTCCTGACGGGGAGCGCGAGCAGCAGCAGCCACGCGGAGACGCAGAGAGGCGCGAAACACGGCATGTTTACAGTCTCTACAGTCCTCCTCACAGACGCTCTCTCTCTGAAACGAACCGCTGAACCAAGTCAACTCGTCTTTTCCCCCTTTCTCTACAGATTCTCACTCTTTTCCCTCAAACCTAACTTATCTCATTCCAGTGAAGAGGGAACAGTGCAGGTAGGTTAGCTGGCTAACACCGGAGCCTCTCTGTAACTTAATGTCACTCTTTTTCTCACCTTTCTACGGGCTTTTCGAATGAATGGCGTGTTGCTCCCTCTTTCTCGCTAATTCTTCAAGCCCCCACAGCCCCTCCTCATCACCTGTTAGTCTTCTGTGTCTGTCTAGCTCCCCCGGCTTCACTGCGCTGTGCGGTGCCCTACTGCGAGAGTGCGCTGCTGCTGCTGAACTGAACTGTGCGGCTCGGTTGCCACACACGCTGCAGTCGCTCAGGAATTTTGAAGCATCCTCTTAATTATTATTCCTGCGTCATTGCCACGCGGCCCCGCCCCCTACTTAAAGGAGCAGCAGCACCTCCGCCTGACCCCCAGTCTCAGCCTCGCCGTCGAGCCAGCGCTTAAAAACAGTGAGTCTGCTAACAGGGGAGGACAGAGCACAGCGCCTCTGTACCGGAGTATAAGGAGAAATACTCTTCAGCTGTGTCCGAAACTGTAGCCTGTTCACTATATAGTGCACTATTTTGTACATGGTGCAGAATACCCGTTGCACTTAAACAATCCCATGATGCACCACAATAAGTAGTGTACAACCCATGTTCTCTAGCACATAACGTATAGCCGTAATGCACTGCATTGTTTGTAAGTAATTAGAAAAACTGTGTAATGTTAGTGTTTGAAATCGTTTACTACCATCACAAATTCTGTTCCCTACAACAGTGTTTTATACAACGATCCAGATTTTCGATTGTGTAGTGATTAGAGGACTATTTCGGACATGACTCTGGTAAAATATTACCTGAGTGAAAGCACAAGTATTCTATCAATGGCTTCCTTCACGTGTTCCTTAAGGCCATAAGTACAGCGTGATACACATTCAAGTGGTTTTGGTCGGAAACGAAATGGACAACCTAGGAAAAAAAAGAGTATTTTTGCTTTCTTTTGTTTTTCTGTCATCAAAGAGAGGGAGTTATTTTGCATTATTGAAACAAAATGGAGAGCAGAGGGTGCTCAATATGTTTTTATTCATTTAGAATAGTTGAATCACAGCATATTGTTGCTGTACAAAAAATAAATAAATGTTTTTATTTTAATTTTTACATTGTGTGAAAATTTTGTGATCAACAGAAATGCTCCAAAAATAATGGAATAAAATATTTTCATGTTAACTTACATTAAAAATACTGAAAGTTTTTGCCTTCTCCTGTAAAGTTGCCACTTTGGAGAAACTTCTTTTTTTTAACTGAAACTCAGAGCTTAGAGTAATTATTAGAGTTCCCAACTAATAATTACGACACTGTGGTGTTGGTCATGTGCACTCATTTTGTAATTACGAACAGAATTTTAAACAGGACTGGAAGGCAGCAGTACATTTCTACTTGAGTAAAAGGACAGAAACGCTTGTGAATGTATTTAATGGGAACTCTGACTGTTAAAACATCTAAGCCTCAATATGGTGTGCATGTCCAATAGTATTAAAATATGTTGCAGTAACCAAGCAAAATACTTTATTTACGATTAAAAATAGACAAAATTCAGCTATGTGAAAGTTGCTTTTTTGTTGCCACATCAAATCAAACAATGGGCTAATTTCGTTTCTCATTTAAATATATCATTCATATTTTTTCCAATTTTCCAAACCAAGAGAAAAACTTTTTGATCGAGAAATCCAGTGCAACCAAATGACACATGACAATGTTTCTATTTAGGTTATATATCAGATGGTATGTACGCTATTTTAAGGCACTGTTTTAAAACAGTCAGCATGCTGTTTAAGTATCAAAAGTAAAGGTCCTTTAAGTTAGTACAGATCTTGTATAACAGTATTTTGATGAACGAGTTCTGTTAAAGGGGCATTCTGGCCTAACGCTACCATTTAATATGTTATTTGTCATGTTATGCAGTATTCCATAGTGCAGCATTGCACCCCTCAGCCTCACTGGTGTGACAGAATTCACAATTTTGTTTCCCTTTTATGTTTTCATCAGTCAGTGTTTTCTTATTATGATACCCAGCATGCATTGTGCAAAGACTTCAAAGTCCACCTCACAGCACATAAAGAAATGCACTGATGTAGATGCTAATACATTCAGCTTTCTAGGAGTGACATTCACTATCTGGCTTCTTTTTTCATTAGCCAGCTAGCGAAGGAAAAAAAAAGTGAAACAGCCCACCCTCAAGTATCCCACCCAAAGCACTTGTAGTTGATCAAAAGTTCCTCCCACCTTTAAGACACATCATGAGAGGGGGGTATTCTTAGTCTTTAAACCAGAAAATCTCATTCCTGGGACTGCTGTGGCACTGCTGTATGATGCGAGTGAGCATGTTTACAACAGACGTAGCAATGGATAAATCTTTTGTTTTGGCCCTAGTGCCCCTTTAAGGAGATGTGTGTGACTGTAGACACTAAAAACCTACTCATTAACATCTGCAGTCACACTGGTCTTCTTAATTGAACTTCATCAAAAACAACATAACTTTCTACAAGAAGTCAAAGAACCTTTACTTTTGATACATTCACAAACAAGTACTTTCATACTTTCACTCAAGTAGAAGTATAGATAGAATACATGCAGTTTTACTCAAGTTTTACCAAGTGTATTGCAAATTTTACTGTAAGTAGTGCACCTTATCCATTATTTCAGTACAAAACCCACAGTTATTCATCAGTTTCCTGTGTTGTGAATTTTCCTTTTGACGTATATATGTAGCGTTTCAAACTACTGAGAGAAATGAACTAGGCTGCTTCATAATAGATTACAAAAAACAAAAATAGGCCTCATGTAGGCCCAACAGCTGGGCATGTATTTTAGGAAGTAGTCTGTTACTGAAAAGGCCTACAAGAGGAATATGGAATCAAGAAGAATGGAATCACAAGCCTGTTGCCCTTCTTGTTTTTTTCAAGACATATCAGTCTATTAGCCACTCATTTTGTTCCCAGCATGAACCTGACAAAGTACTTGCTTCCATATCTGAATAGAAAAACAGTCAAATGGTAAACCTCTTACACAGTGGCATCTAGTGGAAGCTACAATACAATACACCAGTAACAGATTACAACTCCACAATCCTGGCTCTATTTACGAGTCGGACTGAAAGGACACTCTGTGAGTGCACAGTAAGGCTTGGAGGTGGGCAATATGATGATATTAATCGTTATTGTGATAAGTTACATAATATCACAATTAGCTTTTCTGAGTATATTTTATATTTATATTTTTAGTGCTTAAAGAACAGCTATTTCTGTCAAATGACCTTATTTACTTATTTAGTTCCCACACGTTCTTTATTTGTGGCCATGACTTAAATATCTTGTTCCCATGCCAAACAAAATCTTGGTTACAACATAACTATAGCAACTTAACTATCTTATTCTCACTCCTTACTAAGTCATGGCCAGGCATTAGGATCTCATTCTTCTTAAGTTGTGGCCATGACTTAAATATCTTTTTCCCATGCCTTATTAAGTCTTGGCTATGACTTAACTATAACAACTCAACTATCTTGTTCTCACTCTTTTCTAAGCCATGGCATGATTTAATTATCTAGTTCTCACAACGTACTAATTTGTGGCCACTACTTAACTATAACAACTTAACTATCTTGCTGCCAGTCCTTACTAAGTTGTGGCCATGATTTAACTATCTAATTCTTACAACATAACTATCTTTTTTCCACTCCATTATAAAGTTGAGGACATGCATTAGGATTACTTTCCCACACCTTAGTAAGTTGTGGTCCTGACTTAATTATCCCTTCTCACATCTTACTAAGTCTTGGCCATGACTTAACTATAACAACTTAAGCATCTCATTCCCATAACTTAACTTCTTGTTCTCTTGTACTAAGTCAGTGCCACAACTTAATTATCTCATTCTCTTTCCTTAGTAAGTGATGGCCATGAGTCAACTATAACAACTTAACTATCCCATTCTCAATTTTTGCACCTTACTAAGTCATGGCCATGACTTAACTATCTTGTTTCTACTCCAAACTAGGGCATGGCTGTGACTTATCTAGCCTTAATAATTTTAAATAAACTTAAGTTAAAGTTAAATAACCTTAACTATCTCATTATCATGCCTTGACTATCTTGTAGCCATGACTTAACTATAACAACTTAACTATCTTGTTCCCATGCCTTACTAAGTCAGGACCATGACTTAACTATCTTGTTCCTGCTCCACACTAAGTCTTGGCCATAACTTAACTATTTTGTTATTAGTAAGTCATGGCCACATACTAGGATCTCATTCCCACAGCTTAGTAAGTTGTGGCCTTGCATTATTTTTATATAGAAGGCATAACGCCAGCAGGCCTTCATAGTAAAGTTTATAAGTTTCAAAAGAATGTGGCACTACTGGTGCTTTTGTCTCTGTTACAGCTTATCAAACCTCAGAAAAGCTAAATGTCGATGCCCATCGTGTACTGTGAAAATGTTGAAGTGTCGTTGAAGTATATTTTAATAAATCAGCCACTCCTAGTTAGCCTCTTCCAGCTTTTTATGACCACTGTGGCTTGAGTATGTTTTGCTGTAGTTTACGTCCAAGTGCTCAGTCTTGTGGCAAGACACCATGCAACAGCATTTACCTTTCAAAACAGAAAGGAAACACGGCAGGTAAATTTAGTACGGCTCATTAAGGTCGACTGAAAATGACTGACCGACGCTGCCTAGACGAAGCACAGTATTCCATTCATGTCCCTTTTAAACAGCACGCAGAGTTTTAGGGCAATTGAGCAATTTATCTGCATATAGCTTCCCCAGAACAGCTGTGGCACTTTGAGCTATTATATAATTGTGGGTAGGGAAGCAGAATACTTACACACAATTTAGTGAACAAGCCTTTTACTAAGTGTTATCTTTAGCCTTTAACGTCATTCAACCCAAATTACTCCCATGGTACAGTTAAACATGTTTTGGGATGTAGGTCAACCTTGAATATTATGCACCTTATTACGTAGGATCCTGTAAGCCACGGGCGTGCTTCTTAGGTTCTTATATTAGATGTAGTTTTTACTGAGAATAATACAGTCGCCGTTTGATATATTTACACAAAATTTGACTTGTTCATCACAACTGAATGTATTAAACTCACTTCCTATGCTCCTCTTTAAGGGCCCATATTCTATATTTTTCTTGTATTTCATGTTTTCCCCCCTGAGGTCCATTTCTGAGTTTGTGTGTGCTTATGTACCCCAGTCATAATTCATTTTTCCATGGTCATATTCCATCCACTCTTAATGTA